CCTCGCGCTGGCTGCCGGCCCCACCGAGCCAGAGCCAGAGGCTGCGCAGCCCCAGAGCGGGGCGGGGATCAGCCCCACGAGCAGCGGGGTCACCGCCCACCCGTGGCCCGTGTCCCGCGGCGGGGGGGGGGGCGAAGGGGTGCTGGAGCGCCCGGCCCTAGGGGTCCATCCCACCCAGCCAATAGGGTCACCCGCACCCAGCGCTGCAGTTTGGTTTCAGGGAGCAAAGGCGCAGCTGCTCCTTCTTCCACCACGTGACAGAGCAGGGGCCATACAATTCTCCCCCAAGGCCTTCAGTCACACATTTAATTAACGCATTATTTTTTTAATGAGCCTCATCAGCATGGACGCGTGTCCTCTGAAAGGATGGCCGAAGCATGAAGGGACATATGAATCTTTAGCACATCTGGCATGTAAATATCTTGTAACGCCGGCTACAACAGGGCCATGCAAATGCCTGGTCTCACTTTCAGATGACAGTGTAAACAGGAAGCGGGTAGCATTATCTTCTGCAAATGTAACCAAACGTGATTGTCTGAGCAATTAGCTGAACAAGAAATAGGACCGAGTGGTCTTGTAGGCTTTAAAGTTTTACATTGTTTTGAGTGCAGTTATGTAACAAAAGTATCAGGGGGTAGCCATGTTAGTCTGTATCTACAAAAACAACAAGGAGGCTGGTGGCACCTTAAAGACTAACAGATTTATTTGGGCATAAGCTTTCGTGGGTAAAAACCTCACTTCTTCAGATGCACCTGAAGAAGTGAGGTTTTTATCCACGAAAGCTTATGCCCTGATAAATCTGTTAGTCTTTAAGGTGCCACCAAACTCCTTGTTGTTTATGTAACAACAACAACAAAAAAATCTCCATTTGTAAATTGCACTTTCATGACAAAGAGTTTGCACTTCAGTACTTGTAGGAGATGAATTGAAAAATACAACTTATTTTCCCAGTGCAAATATTTGTAATAAAAAATAGTCTAAAGTGAGCCCTGTACACTTTGTATTTTGTGTTGCAATTGAAATCTATATATTTGAAAATGTAGGAAAACATCCAAAAATATTTAATAAATTTCAATGGGTATTCTATTGTTTAGCAGTGCGATAATTTCAATTAATTTTTTTAATCGCAGTTAAGTTTTTTGAGTTAATCGCATGAGTTAACTGCAATTAATCAACAGCCCTAGTAATCAGTCATTGAACTCCCTGCAGCTTCCCTCCCTCTGAGGTAAGTATAAGCCCCATTTCAGAGATGGGAAAACCAAGGAACAGAAAGTCAGTGGCAGAGCTAGGAATAGAATAGAGGAATCTTGATACCTCTCCCCCAAATTTATCCTGTTGTGAAATCCCTATAGTGATATTCCTGAATCCAGTGATTGTTATAGAGAAAGAGCGGAGACCGGTAGAAGAAAAACATGTTTCTCTTTTAATTCTCATCGTATTAGCCAGTATGCAAAGGGGAAACAGTTCTTTCCTACCCTCAGACAGTGTGACCTGTGTAAGAGCCTGAGACTGTTATAGGGAAAAATAATGGGATGTGAAGGAGGACAGTAGTCAACAGTGATGTTAAGAAAATGGAGCAATATGGCTCTTTCTTCTCATTTCCTTTCTTTTCCTTTCCTTATCCCACCCTTGACTTCGCTGTCATCGGAGCGGGCTGAGGAATGTTCTCTGCGGTACAGTTTGTTATCGTACTGCTGAAGTTCATTGGGTGTCACCAGCTCTTGGCGAGCGTTCCATGACCAGGAGTAGGTGGAGAAAGTGTGGTAGAAGCTGTGGTTCCCTGATTCCAGCCCAATCTGCCCACCGTGCAACCTCCGCCACAGTCTCAGCATCCTGTTCCTCTCCTTGAGTGCCATCCCCTCCTTGTACATTTCAGTTACCCTTTTCACCTATGGAGAAGAGATGGAGGTTGAAAGAGGCCGCAGTGTAGCATGGAACCAGATCTGTACCCAAATGGAAACCAGCTACTGCAGAAGTCTGACAGATGGGAGGTGTGAGGTTGTCAAAAAAAAGATCCTGGATGCTCTTTATCATGCACTGACTGCAAGTAGATGCCAGTAAATACACCTCTACCTTGATATAACGCTGTCTTTGGGAGCCAAAAAATCTTACTGCGTTATAGGTGAAACCGCATTATATTGAACTTGCTTTGATCCACCGAGTGCGCAGCCCTGCTCCCCCGGAGCACTGCTTTACCGCGTTATATCCGAATTCACATTACATCGGGTCGTGTTATATCAAGGTGGGGTGTATCACCAATTTATGTAACGGAAAGATTAACGGACTTATTTATTATTATCCCTTTGGTTTCATACTTCATAGTAATTTCAAGGAATTGCATGAAGTAATACAGATGCTTAGTTAAAATCCTTTCACCAGAAAGTTAATTGTATGGGTTACACCTTGTAATTACACTGGAACTTCAGTGTAACTACAGTCACTGTGTTATAAAGGGTTGTGCATATACCCCAGATCCTATAATATTTCTAAGGTCCCCATCCTCGTGCTACTGTAGCTAAGTGGTAATATCCAATGGTATTTGTACTTGCTGCTCCTAACCCTTGCATATGCCTCTGGGAGAGGAAGAATGGTTGCCAGGTGACAATCAGGGTGGAACAGGGGTATGGAGCACCAGCAACCCACTAATTTGTACTATCTGGGTTACTGATAATCATACATTTCTGTAACATCTTTTGTCTCAAAGGGCTTCAAAGCACCACTGAAATGCAGCCACCTCTGGGGGCAGAGGGCAGCAATCAGGCTGAAAACGTGCAAACAATTTGAGGGGAGGGAAGTCTTGACCAAGTAGACTGGGTCAGCTCCTCTAACTGTTACAGAAAATAGCAGATGGAATCTTTAATGTCCATGCAGAGCAGTGAGGACCTCGGGACAAGAGTTTCCAATCCAAGTACGTAAAATTAAGTCCCTATAAAAGGGGTCTGATTTTCAGAGAGGCTGAGCACTTCGCACGCCCAGCAGTTTCAGTTGCATTTGCTTACATCAGATCTGAATTTGTGCCATATACTAAGCAGCTTTATGTTTCAACAAGCAAAATGGAGCAACTCCAGAGAGACATTTTCCTCTCTGTCTGGAAGGGGTCGGATTGACAACACTGGGAGCTGAAGTCCTTTCTCTACAGTAGGGGCAGTGTGGCAATGCAAACGTCCGTATGCTGCCCCTCACTCCTGCCCTGATCGGATGGCTGCTAGGTGAAAGGGTAGCATTAGGTGGCCATGGCCATCTCTTTTGACCTCCAAAAAGGGGAAACAACGAGGCCAGCTGGGATGGATGCTGGTTCGTGTGACGTGGCCCCTGTTCACCAGGACTGAACTCTTTTTATAAAGACCACAAAAGAGCCATCTTTTCATCGCTAGCAACCCAGTCGG